GCAAGTTCTGACTATGTTCCAGTGCTTGTGTCCTGTATTTCTGTTGTGTAGGATAGTTATAGCCTGGGTCCCCTTGCTGAGCCTTCAGGTCCCCTCTATGCTGTTGCTAACAAAGAGACATTCATACTAGGGGACAGTTCTGAACCAGAACAGTAGTTCTGAATCTGTAACAGACTTTGTAGAATAGATACATAAGACTAGGGAAGACACACAAGCTCTTTTAGAGAAGGTAGTATAAGTAATAAAGTAGAATTACAATTGGAAGAGATCTGTAGCTAAGGATTACTAGCCTGGAGACAAAGTTATACTAGAAGCCACTAACCTGACTATAAATTGCTTAATAAAGAAGTTGGACAACAAGTGCTTCAGACCCTTCATTATTGAAAAGAAGGTTAGTGCCTCTGCCTACAAACTCTAACTTCTAGTAATATAGAAGTACATACACTTAGTGTTTAACAAGGTTCTACTGTCTTAGTACTATAATCCAGGTTTTCCTTTGTAACAAAGACCCTTACTACCTCTACCAGAACTCATTAGTTCTGAACCAGAATACAAAGTAGAGTATGTAGTAGATACTAAGCTAGTACACAGAAAGCTCAAGTTCCTTATCTACTAGAAGGGATACTTAATTGAAGAACACACTTGAGAACCTGCTGAGAATCTTACCTATACTACTAAGACAATCTGAGACTTCTATTAACTTCATCTGGGTGCTCTGTATTAACTCTACCTTACAGATTTTCAAACCCTACTATTCTGACCTATGTCTAAACTACTAACTAAGTCTAATGTTCACTAATCAGGACAATTGGTTTTAGAGAGAGGGTGATGTTACAGTTCTCTACTCTTGTACCCTTAGTTCTAAGGGTTCTACACTCTTCTGTACCAGAACTCAGGACTTCTGTCCCTCAGGAGTACTATTTATAAACTATATACATACTAACTCTTACTACTACCCTTCCTTACTTCATTATTCTATTCCTTTGACCACCCCTTCATTCTTTGTTTATTCTATAGTCTCTTACCCTTTGTTCATCCCTTCATTCTTTGTACCTTTATTTTTGACCTTCCTTTCTTTTATTCTTTATAGCTTATCATTCTTAGTAGCTCATACTCTCTAAGTACTCTTGTGTAGTTTAGTATATATAGGCATACAAGATTAGACTGGTTCTGTAGTCTTGATCTTGTCTACTCTAGATAGTCCTGTACTCTTAGGCTTACTCTATATACTCTACTCTTGTCTCACACTCCCTCTCCCTGTCTGTTCTACAAGTTCTGACTACATTCTAGTGCTTGTGTTCTGTATTTCTGTTGTGTAGGATAGTTGTAGCCTAGGTCCCCTTACTGAGCCTTTAAGTCCCCTCTATACTGTTACTAACATCCTTAAAGTGTTGTCTATTAAAATCTAAAGGGTAGACTATATACACTTTCTTTCTAAAACAGGTTGTAACTTCTAGAACAATCAGAACAGGTTCTAAGAGGGCTGAGAGCATATAGTTAGTAAAAGCCTCTTAAATAGAGGTCTGTATGTATTGAGCTAGGTCTGCTCACAACTGCTAATCTGGCAGGACAGTAGGGGTAGTAGTTAGTGTAGAAGGGTTTATGTTTATACTACAAAGGAATTGGCACTAAACTAAAAAGGGTAATGAATAGAAGAAGGGTGGCAAAAGTTTAAAAGGGTTTGGAAAGTTTAAAATTTAAAAATGTAAAAGGGTTAGGACAAAGAAAAGAGATTAATGTAACAGTAAGTACTAATGCCTGAAACATAGGAGAGTTGTAGGGTAGTAATAGGGAGTCTTAATCTGATGTTAGCAACAGTATAGAGGGGACCCAAAGGCTCAGTAAGGGGACCCAGGCTACAACTATCCTACACAACAGAAATACAGAATACAAGTACTGGAACATAGTCAGAACTTGCAGAACAGACAGAGAGAGAGTGAGTGAGACAAGAGTAGAGTATATAGAGTGAGCCTAAGAGTACAGGACTACCTAGAGTAGACAAGATCAAGACTACAGAACCAGTCTGATCTTGTACACCTATATATACTAAACTACACAAGAGTACTCAGGGAGTATGAGCCACTAAGAATGATAAGCTATGAAGAATAAAAGAAAGGGAGGTCAAAGATAAAGGTACAAAGAATGAAGGGATAGACAAAGGGTAAGAGACTGTAGAATGAACAAAGAATGAAAGGGTGGTCAAAGGAACAGAATGATGAAGTAAGGAGGGGTAATAGTGAGAGTCAGTCTGCATATAGTCCATAGATGGCACTCCCAAGGGACAGAAGTCCTGAGTTCCAGTATGGAAGGGTGCAGAACCCTTGGAACTGAAGGTACGAGAGCAGAGAACTATAACACATTCCAAGGAGCTGTTTGATTGGACTGCTTTTCCTGGTTTGCAAAATACACAAACACTCGGAAATAGCAGTGATTTAAAATTGCAGGAATTATACAGTACGTAATGTTTGGTTTTGGGTGAGATTTCAGAACGGTTTGGAGAAAATGACAGGGTTGTGATTGAGATTAAGACCTTTGGAAAATTTGAACGCGGTGATCAATATAGCTCTGGCTCTATTAGTAAAGAGCGGTTCGTATATATCCGTATCGAGTGCCGTGAAGTACGAAGAGACACAGTTATGTGCCATGAGTGATTACGGATTACGGCCATGTGAGAAGTGTCGGAATACATGTATTTCAGTATAACTATCTACGTGCTCTATTTTTCAGGAATGAATCAATAAACCCGACAACTGTGTAAAACGGTGTCATTTGCCATTACCCAAGGGACGCGGCATTTACACATGCTAGATGTATGTTTCGTCCTTCACAGAATTTCGTCAACTCAACTGGTAAAGGTTCGTCTGCTAGTCCAGAGGTACCAAGCGACCGGCGATAAAATCTTGAATCGAGGCCATTGCAAATAAGCTTCCAGTCAACGTACGAATCCTCCGCTCGTATTATGAAGACCAGGGTCCGGAGCCCAGGCAGTATGGATATTTTTTCGATCAAGGGACAAATGAAGTTCACCCAATTAGTGCACATCTCGTGAGCGTCTCGTTCAGTTATATGTATACCCAAATGTTCCAAGGACGAAGGTAAGCATGGCATATGGACATCCCAGTTTATTTTGTTATAAAAGAGATCCAGGCTAGGAACACGCGAATCTAGTAAGACTTCATCGAGAGCCGGCGTCGAATACACTGATAGCTGTTCCAATTGAAGACTCGTCTGTAGGAGCAATCCCAGCTCCTCACAGGTGTCTTCTGAAAGATATTCGCCTCCACAAATGGACAGTGATTGCAAGCTGAAGTTTCCCCGCGGCCGAAGGAGCCAAGCGACGATTTGCCCGCTCATGTCAGTCCCAAGAGATCCAAGCATAAGGTCCACCGCTTTCAACGAGGAAGGAGGGTGCTCGTTCCAATCCAGTACATCCGTCTCCGAGCTTGACCACCCTTCTATGGTCAAAAATTTCAGTGAAAGCATCCTCGGGATACACTCGTATAAATACTGCAAGGTATCACACCATACGAGCGTACGCTCTTCTTCCGATTCAATCCCGGGCCACTCAAAATGTTTGAGGTACAAGTCTTGGAGGCGTGGTAACGCACTCGATATGGCACCGAGACAAGGTCGGATGTTCAAGCTTTTATTACTGAGAGACGAACGATGCCATGAAAGAGACGTGTTAAACGCCAATGAGCGGACGTTCGGCGTACGTGCAAGGAGTGCCTTCAGGAGCTCAATATCATCGGAAGTGACTTTATCGAAACCCCTGACCGTCCAATAGATGATCATCTCCGTTACCCATGTTCCACAGAGAGGACTAAGGAGAAACCATTTTATCTGCTTGTACGGAACGATTGCGCGGCGACGTAAACATCTCTGCGCGATGTCTGTCCAGGAACGATGCACAAGAGTCATATTGCGCAAGTCAGTCCGATTGCATGAGAAAGCTCTTTTCCAGCTAGGCTCGTCAGCTGCTGCACATAATGGTGTACCGTTCTGTACTATTGCATCGACAACGAGCCCTAGAATGACAGGTGGAACGACACCTGAAGACTTTTTGATCTCGGGGGGCTTTGCAACGCCGCGATCCAGTGCTGTGCCCCTTCGATAAGTAGAGACCTGGTCAAAGATTTCCCAAAGTCCTGTGAGCGTGACATCACTCGATTTGAATCGTGGGTCGGTTACAACATCGAAAATTTGTTCGAAGAGACGAGTGGAAAACTTGTGCATATTGTCAAGGAAAAGGGCAGCAAGCCTCGCATCAGAATAGGTCTTGAAGTGAACATTGATGTCGAAGCGTCGGCATTCGGGTCGATTAAATATCGAGTTGAGTGGATAGTTGGACATGGTAGTGCTTCATTTCCGGGCAGGCGGAGGACAGCATTTTAAGTCAAGCTTAAGCTTCTGAGCCTTCGACTTCTACTTAGCGTTTCGTGGGAAAACTTTCCTCGGTGGCTCAAGGTGGTTTCGGTGTCGAACCAGTGAGAACTCGAAGGCACGTAAAAGAAAAAGAAAGAAAAGACAATTAAGTGCCAAAGTGGCTCACACTTCGTAAGAAAACATGAACTTAGTTGCTGTAAATAAAGAAATAAAACATATGTAGCTATTTGTTGACCAAGTCATTATTATCCAATACCGTGACATGTGTGCAGGGGCCTAGTAGTAGCAATGATTGCTTCTGCTCTAAAAGGCAAACGGTCTACCACGTGTCTCTATAGTTCAGAAGGTTGGGAGCTACTATATTGGACAGAAAGGAAGGCAAATTGCAGGCATTACCATTCTTCTGAACACCTGTCCTTCTCTGGACCTGAAAATAGATAATCTAAACTGACTTTCAACTGTAAAATGTTTAAAACACAACAAAGTATAATATTATATGTAGTAAATTATCTAATACATGTTTGACAGTGCTAAATGTATTATCCTCAGAGTGCCCATTGTATGATACGGTTAGTTTGAGTGAAATCTATTGAATAGGTTTTTCTAACTAATTATCATATGTAATGCAGTATTAATCATATATAATAATCAGGTTCAGCATTTATACATTCTAGACGAATGTTTCGATCCTTACATAAGCTGGTCAAATTCTCTAACAGACGCCCATCTACAAGCCCAGCATCCACCAGCCTAGAAATAATGTACAGTCGGCAAGAAGATCTAAGCTTGAAGTCCTTGTAAACATATTCCTGGACGCGAAGCACAGATGATTCCTTGTGGAATATGAAGAGAAAGCTCTAAAGCCGAGGGAGCAGAGATACTCGCCCAATCAAGGCCTGGACCAGTCAATTAGGACCGGGCTCGCGGCTATACACTTCTATTCCGATACAATGTATCGTTAAGTGCTCCAAAGAAGACGGCAGGTGCGGAACAGTACAAGGCTCTCGTCCATAGTAGAGTTCTAGGCTGGTAATTCTGTTGCAATTAAGTAATAGGTCTTCGGAAATCGACCGATCGTTACGCCAGTCTGACCCTGTACCTAGAGATATCGATAATCGTTCCAATTGGTGAAGGTCAGATCGTAATAGCGACTCCAGTTTCTCATACAACTGTGAAATAAAAAACTCCCCCCACCAAATGGACACGGATTGTAAACTGAAATTTCCTCGAGGCCGGAGGAGCCAGGACAAATTCTCCCCCCTCATGTCGTTTGCAATGCTAAGTTCCACTGCTTTCAGCGAGGAAGGAGGGTGTTTTTTCCAATTAAGGGCGTCCGCCGCCGGGTCTTCCTAACCTTTCATGGACAAGGGCTCCAAAGTACGCATTTTGGGGATCAGACCGTATAACGATTCCAACTCGTAGCAGGGTACAAATTCCGAACCGCACTCAGGCACATGACCACATTCGCATTGGAAATGGTTCAGCCAAACATGACGAAGGTCTGACAACGCATGTGCTATGGTATCGAGGCAATCGTGCACCTCTAGACTTGTACGGTGTAGACGGCACGACGAAAGTGTCGTATTGAATGCTAGAGTATGAACGTTCGGGGTACGCGCAAGGAGGTTCTCTAACAGTTCAAGGTCACTAAGGCTGACAACATCATGATCATCGGGCATCCAGTAAATGATCATTTCCTTGACCCATGGCCCACAGAAAGGACTCAGGAGAAATCGGTTGATCTGTTGGTACGGAATGATTGCACGACGACGCTTTCCGTTATATGCAAATTCTGTCCAGGATCGATGGACGAGACTCATATTAAACAAGTCGGTTCTGTTACGCGCAAATGCTTCGTCCCAGCACTTCTTCTCGGCTAACATGGCAAACGGTGTATTCTGCTGCGCGATTTCATCGACGACGAGACCTAAAACAACAGGTGGAACAACGCCTGATGTCATTTCGACCTTGTGTGGCTTTGCCACAGAACGATCTAACACCGAGCTTTTACGGTGAGCCGAGACACTATCAAATATGCCCCAGATATTTTTGAATGTGAGTTCGCTCGGTTTGAATTGTGGATCTGTTATAACATTAATGACTTGCTGGAACAGACGCACGGAAAAGTCCTCCATGTTGTCAAGGACGAGAGCAGCGAGTTTCGCATCGGAATATGTCTCAAAGGGAATGTTGGACCACAGATCCCTTGAGTGATAGCATGTCGAATTGGACGAATAGTCGAGCATTGTTGCACGCGTAGGCGTAGTCGTAGGTAGGTGTTTAAGTCCGAGCGATTGGCAAGTAGTTGGTCAAAGTCGTGAGACATAGTTCTTTCTCCGTCTCAATTTATTCAAAGTGGCTGTGTCGAACAGTGTTTCTTCCTTTCTTCTATAATATAATTAACCAAGAATTTATTCAGCCAAAGTTTGTCTTTTTCATCCGTAAAAATACAGAAAATACAATAATATAATATTGGTCAAAATTACACAAGTTGCATTGAGTATAATCTGAGTGTAATTGTGGTTGGATGCTAAAGTGCCGCGAAAAAAAACTACATCGAAGAGAATAAACAAAATAAACAGAAGACTATATAGAGACGAGAAGGAGAATCGAGGGAGAAAATACCAACAAACCCCATCCTGGACCTAAAGCACTACAAACTCATCTTCATCCTTCTCATCCGTGACGTCTTCGACAGTAGTCTGATGCACGACAGAAGGTGGCTTGGGCTCAGGACTAGGTTCCTGCAGTCCAGATGAACGTACAGTAAGAGCAGGGACTACCGCTTCGCTGCGAATTGTAGGCTGGGATAAAGGCAACGAGACATGGGGGGTCGGAGGGGTCCGTATTACCTCTGACTCAGAGTCAACAGGAGACTCCACAGAATTTGCATTTTCGGGGTTAGGATTGATGCTGGAATCTTCTTCGATAGGAGGCTCTAAGGCCGTGGTGATATCTTCGATTTCGCGGGCGTCGTCTTCAGAGAGAATATATGGCTCTGATCCGGTCTCACCCTCGGGCTCAGTCTGGGATTTGAGTTCGGGTTCGACATCCATTGATTCGAGAGGTGCCTCAGGCTGTGACGACGTGGTGACTGTCTCCGTGTCAATAGAGTTGGAGACACTCGAAAGCTCAGTAGGCATGTCGTCCATCTTCGCGTCAATGGGGGACGTAGGTTCGTCAATCGTCGATGGAGTTGGAGCTTGAGCCTCAGTATCGATATGCATCGTCTCGGAAGCTTCCTTCTGATCGACAAAGACAGGTTCAGAGGAAGCGATGGTCTCAGGTGCAATTGGAACGTCGATCACTGTTTCCTCAACAGCAGCAGATGCTAGAGCAAATTCGGGTTCGGGCTTGGACTGCACCTCATCCCAGGCTCTCCGGACTTCAGCATCAATCCTTCCCAGTTCTTTTTCGATCTCCCGAACAAGTTCCCTCCTGGCTTCTCTAACATGCACATCTCCATGACTCTCTACAGCATCCAGGGTCTGCAATAGCTTTATCAATGCATCCTCATGTGCATGTACGGGAGCATTACGTGATGTATACGCAAGTTTCGGTCGTTCATCTCCCGACGGCGGTGAGGACAGGTCAAAGTCTAGTTCTGCTGGAAAAGTGAAAGCGTTAAGGAGAGAAGTAAATCGTTCTCTAGCGGATTTGATGGACGAGAGAGATGCGTGGACCCGATATGCAGCTTGGATCTTGGATGCTGCAGCATTCTGTTCTTCCGGTGAGGCTTCAGGATGGGTTGACGACGGGGTCGTAATCGGGATAGAGACCTTTGGTGAACTTGCACCCCGACGTTCGGCGGAGCTCTGGCTCTAAAGAGCAAAGTCAGCTTCAACTGCGCATTGCACATCAAATTATATGCCTAACCTGTTGCCGATTGTATACTGGTGAACGAGATTGAGACCGGGGAGCTTTTGGTGGCGCTTGGGTCTGCGGCCTCCTCACCGGCTCGCGTCTCGGTGCATACGAGTACCACGAGTAAGGATACGTAGTAGCTTCATCACCGTCTTCGCCTTCATCTTCGTAATTTCCGTATCCCCCAAAGTCTGGGAAGCCGAACTGATGTTGAGGATACCCGAAGGGAAAGCCGTAAAATGACTGAGGACGTTGCCGTTGACGAGCGCGGGCTTGGGCTTCCTCCTGTCTCCTCACCCTCTCGCGGATATGTGCTTTGGCTTCTTCCTCAGCACGGCGTTGGCGTGCCTCGCGTTCGCGTCGAATAGCATCCTGAAGTGCTGAGCGAGCGGCTTGTTCCTCGGCAAGTGCGCGGACATACTGGTCATATGTTTCGCGCGGATAGTATGTCGTCGGGGGCGGCGAGGGGCGGCGCCGGACAAAGGGGGCACAAAAGAGTGTGCTGGCGTACGAAGAAGGGTCACAGTAGTACGCCATATAAGTGCTCTAGCTAGCCTAGACGAGCGCAGTAATTCTCAAGCAAAGTGTGTGTGGTGGTGGGGTGGAGTGAAGGAGCGAGAGTACGGAACAAGGCTTTATAGTCGGGCCATAGGAATGCGGCTGCGTACGCGTAAGTCATATGCATGTTCGAGTGCATTCTGGAGGACTGCCTAATACCTGTGGTCGTAGTAAGTACTCAATCTGGAACATAGCTGAATGTGCCGGAACATTGCCGAACCTTCTCGTGTATTGCACGTGGCAGTATTGCCGCACGTGCCAGATGTATCAGTCACAGCTACGCGTCGCGTCTCACTGACTCTCAGCGCGTCTAAACACCTTGCTGCTTGCCCATCATGTCCATTGTCACCATAAAAGTCTGGTTTCTTTTTTACGTTCTTCTCGACATCAGTTACTGATTTTTCTCATTATTTTCTTTTTAGAACGTCGAATTCTTAAATAACCCTGCACGCTTCACAGACCCCTACCGCTTCCGTGTACTTTTCGAATGCATCGCGCCTCTGCCCGACGACCTTGAATGGCGACTCATATACGTCTCCTCACCAGGAAACGAAGAGCTCGACCAAGAACTTGACTCCTGCCTCGTTGGACCTGTTCCAGTCGGCACTAACTCCTTCGACTTTGAGAGCCCTGCACCTGATTTTCGACGTATACCACCCGAAGACCTCCTTGGAGTTGCAGCACTCATATTAACAGGAAGCTACAACGACCAGGAGTTTGTCAGAGTAGGATACTACCAAAATACGGAGTACGACGATGAACTACTTCGAGAGAATCCCCCTGCTCAGGTAATGGTCGATCGATTAACAAGGGACGTGAACGCGAAGCCTCGAGTGACACGATTTCAGATCAAGTGGTGAGTGTGACTGACAAATTTACTTTTATTTATCTTTTTTAGTCCTCATACCTATATTAAATGATGCATAGGGACGTATCTCCGATGCAGAATACCCAGGTAGCAGTTGGCGCAGCTCAATCTGCTGCAGTACCGTCTGCGAATGACTTAGTCGATGACGAACCAATGGACGTGCAACCAACGGGCGTACCAGTCGCATGACACCCTTTTAACCTTGGATTGTACTCATTCTTCTCAATCTCTGTATTTACGTATGGTAAGGAGCAGCTATCTTTTCATTTTTTTCTATAAGAGGACATGAATACTTAGTCGACGTCCTTTAGGTCTATGAATTTATATTATGTATACAATAGAGGGCGTTTACTGTCATCATGTCCTCTGGAGGCCATTTATATCCTTATTACCTGCTCATGCTTACAAGCAATGACCCACATACGATTTTGGGTTCCAAGGAAGTATCACGAATAGATAAGGACATGGAGGCTGTATTTACATAACCAGTTGAAATGTGACGTCAGGCTAGCAAACTACTCCTGTCTCACAGACTGAACTGAGAGTTCCATGTAATTGACTAACGCCAAAATCACCGTTCTAGTAATGATTGTCAACTACTTTGAGGAGCTCTGTCCTCATAGATACATGTGAGTACTAACAATAGTCATATTATATGATGATGTAACTAAGCAGTGTACATTTTGCACTTTTGCTTACTCTCAAATTGGGGCAAGAGGTGTTTCCCACGGTTACAGGTCCGGTAAACGCCTAATCCGAGCAATTGTTTAATCTTCTTGCACTTGCCACCTTCCTGCTCAGCGTTCCAAGCAAAGGAAGATGCTTCACGATTCATCTGATTCGACATCCTATCACTCCAATGACTGGCATGCTAACATACGCTTCGAGACATATTCCGATGCGAGACTGGCTGCCGTTTTCCTTGATAACATGGATAGGCTTCCTGTTGACCTATTCAAGCAAGTCATCGATGCTGTAATTGATCCGCAATTCAAATCGAGCGAAGTCACATTCAAAAGCACTTTGGACGCCTTTGAGTGTGTCTCGACTTATCGGAGGAACATGGCTCCAGGCTGCACCGTGGAAAGGCTATCATCGGGCGCTGTTCCACCTGTTGTTTTAGACCTTGTGGTCGATACGATCGTGCAGCAGAATATACCACTGGGGATAGCAGCAGAAAATAAGTGCTGGAGTGATGCACTTGCTCATAATGGAGCGAACTTGCGTAATATGAGCCTCGTCCATCGTTCCTGGACGGATATTGCGCAGCGAGGACTGCGTCGTCGAGCAATCATTCCGTGTCATCAGATCCATCGATTTCTCGTCAGCCCCTTATGTGGACCGTGGGTCACTGAGATGATCATCTACTGGCCACTTGGGGAGAACGACGAGGTAACCCGCCGTCTCTTCCTTCTAAAGGGTCTCCTTGAACGTACTTCGAATGTTCGTTCCTTGGCATTCATTACGTATTATAAACCGGATACACCGTATGAGGGGCGAAACCGCGAAATTCAAAATTGCTTCGATACCATGTCAGGTTCGTTACCACGCCTCCGGAAGCTTTGGCTTAAGCACCGTCAAAACTCGTCCTGTTCGGTTTGGTCGACAGTCTGCGACGGTTTGGATTCTTTATGCAAAATCATTCCCAAGATGCAGTCGTTGGAGTTCTTATCAATAGACAGATGGGTAAGCTCGAAATCGGATGACTTTAATTGGAATTGGAACGAGCATCCTCCTTCGTCCTTAAAATCAATCAGCCTTTGCCTCCATGATGCCGTGAGTAGGCATTTCTTTACGTGGTTCCTCAGACCTCGAGGCGACTTCAGCTTGCAGTCGCTGTCCATTGGTGAAGGTGGCGGGAACTCAGAGAATTCCTACAGGCAGCTGCTGCTGTCTCTGCAGTCAAGTTCCCACCAATTGAATCATCTATCAACGACCATGTGTGCTGTTCAACGCGAGGACAAGTCTTTTTCAGATAACATATTGCTTACCTGCCCCATGCTTACTAGCCTGGAACTTTTCTATGATCAAGATTATTCACCGGCCTTTCTCCTAGCCTTGGCACCAACCTTGATTCATTTAACGATTCAGTGTCCAGATGTATTTCTTCAAAAAGAGGATCATGCCTATGCGTTGTACATGGTCCACTCTTTGAAGGAGAAAATACCTACACTTCCTCAGCTTCAGAGTCTCCTCTTCATAATACACCCACATATTCCTCTGTATCCATCACTTATATGCAAAGGCCGCGATTCGAGACGATATGACACGCAACTGGGTGGTCGCTTTGTACCAGCAGAAGAACTAGTAGTGGCGGACCTGACAGACTTCTTTAAAAATTGGAACATACATCTTGCATGCATACAGGCGCCATCTCTTGCACATCTTGGGTGACACTAGTACTACCTTCAGGCATTGATGTAAGTCTGAGAAATGCAATGACCTGCATTCAAACAAACTAACCACATCCTTTACAATAGACGCTAAAGAAACAAGTACCGGATTTGTTCGATCTTGTATATATACAAGAATGGAATGGCTGTTCTATCGTAATTCTTTGTATTCCGTGTTTTACAAGTAAAATCCCTTCAGCTGAATAGTTCCAGGGCCTATGTATACACAGATTTATTAAAACCAAAACCAAACATCTATTGAACATAATGCACAGAACGAAGTAAGTCTGGATCGAAGACGGAACAGATTTCATTCGCTGTGTCAATATAAGAGAAGTATGAGCTTACCCAGTTACTTACATTTAGGCAAAATACATATATCTACTGTACAGACACTACCTTTTAAGATCAATACACATGAATTTTTCAGTCCACCATGATGGTAGGCAGGAAAATAGAGTAACATTAGGCATAAATACTGTTAGGTATTAAGCATAACAATTTGAGGCTAAAAACTATTAATAAAATGTTTAATTAAAGGTCATTTTCAATTATGCAGTACAACATATCTTGGGCCACATAGAGTCACTTTTTGGACAAGCCACTGTCTATTGTGTAAAATACATATGAAATCCAAAGAGAACCATACAAATAACTTATTATTCATTATGACAAAGCTTAATACTCTTTCTCAGAGTGAAATTGGGGCCAAAATTACTAAAGTCCAATTACTGTTTGCTAAGCTAGCAAGAAATCTATACAACAAGATTAATAACTCTCTTGAATAGTCCGATATTTGGACATTTTCTAATTAGTTCATGTATCATGAATGCATGTACTACAAGATACAAATTTTGTTACTATATTACTTAAGCTACTACCAACAAGCATAACTTATCATTAAGCATAGCTTTACATGTCTACCAAGAGCTATGCTTAATGACAAGTTTGACTATAACATTTTTCTCCCAAATTGAGTAAAAAAAGAGACTTATTCCAAGCAAAAATTGTTAGATTTCTCCTAACATGCCTTCCCACCCCCCTCCCTCATTATAACACACAAAAATATTCTTTATGAATTTACACTCAGTTGCCCAAATTTGCTATCATAACAGCAAATTCTAAGTAGTTTCTCAATTTTTGCCGTAACACACCCTTCTGGTTGTTCCCATACATCTAAGTACAGTACTTTCAAATTGAGGCAGGGAAAGAGATGTTTCCCACGGTATGCATTCATGCCTTGCCTAATCCGAGACAATTGTTTTATTTTCTCGCACTTGCCACCTTCAGCGTTCCAAGCAAAGGAAGATGCTTCACGATTCATCTGACTCGACGTCCTATCACTCCAATGACTGGCATGCTAACATACGCTTCGAGACATATTCCGATGCGAGACTGGCTGCCGTTTTCCTTGATAACATGGACAGGCTTCCTGTTGACCTATTCAAGCAAGTCATCGATGTCATAATTGATCCGCAATTCAAATCGAGCGAAGTCACATTCAAAGGCACTTTGGACGCCTTTGAGCGTGTCTCGACTTATCGACGGAACATGGCGCCAGGCTGCACCGTGGAAAGGCTATCATCGGGCGTTGTTCCACCTGTTGTTTTAGACCTTGTGGTCGATACGATCGTGCAGCAGAATATACCACTAGGAATAGCAGCAGAAAAGCGGTGGAGTGATGCACTTGCTCATAATGGAGTGAGCTTGCGTAATATGAGCCTTGTCCATCGTTCCTGGACGATAATTGCGCAGCGAGGACTGCGTCATCGAGCAATCATTCCATGTCGGCAGATCCATCGATTTCTCGTCAATCCCTTATGCGGACCGTGGGTCACTGAGATGATCATCTACTGGACACTTAGACCGAAGGACGAGGCAATTCGCCGCCTCTACCTTCTGGAGGGGCTTCTTGAACGTACTCCGAATGTTTGTTCCTTGGCATTCATTACCTCTTATGATGGTAGTGAATCGAAAAAGGCAGAAAGCTTCCAAATTCAAAGTTGCTTCGACACTATATCGGGTTTGTTGCCATGTCTCCGAAGGCTTTGGCTTAAACACATTACAAACACGTGCGGATCTGTTTGGGTGCAAGTCTGTGAAAATTTGAACTCTGTATGCAAAGCTATTCCAAAGTTGCACTCGTTGGAGTTCCTATCCATAGACAGATGGGTAAGCTCGGATTTGGAGGACTTTAATTGGAACGAGCATCCTCCTTCATCATTAAAATCAATCAGCCTGTGCCTCCATGATTTCATGAGTAGGCAATTCTTTGCATGGCTCCTCAGTCCTCGAAACGGCTTCAGTTTGCAGTGGCTGTCCATCGGTGAAGGTGACGGGTGTCCAGAGAGTTCCTACAGGGAGCTGCTGCTGTCTCTGCAGTCAAACCTCCACCAACTTAATCATCTATCAGCGGTCACATGGGCTATCCAGCATGACGACAGGTGGTCTTCTTCAGATAACATATTACTTACCTGTCGCATGCTGACCAGCCTGGAACTTATCTACGACCAATGTTATTCACCTCGCTGTTCTTCATCCTTTCTCCCAGCCTTGCCCCCATCCTTGACTCATTTAACGTTTCGCTGTCCCGACGTATTTCTTCACAAAAGTGCACATGCCTTTGCATTGCGCATTGTCCAATCTTTGAAGAAGAAAATACCTACACTTCCTCAGCTTCAGAGCCTCCTCTTCATAATACACCCACACAATCCGCTGTATTCATCACTTGTATGCCAAGGCCGCGATTCGAGACGATATGACACGCAACTGGGTGGTCGCTTTGTACCAGCAGAAGAACTAGTAGTGGCGGACTTGACAGACTTCTGTAATAGTCGGAACATACATCTCGCGTGTGTACAGGCGCCGTCGCTTGCACTCCTTGGATGACACTATTACTCAGTCGTACATCAATGTAAGTCTGGAAAAATATATCAATAGTTCGCATTCAAACTAACTGCATGCTCTAAGATATACACCAAGGAAATAAGTACTGGATTTGTTCAATCTCGTACATATACAAAATGGAATGGCTATTCCATCGTAATTCTTTGTGTCTGCATTTTAGCACAGTTACTTGGATTTATTCAATGAAGAGATGGCAAAATACGTGTATCTACCACGCAGACGCTACTTTTGAGGTCGAGCGAACGTTACTGAACATTTGATATCAATATTGAAGCGGAGAAGGAACTGATTCCCACGACCTCCGAGAGATTGAGATTGAGAATCACGCACGTCGTGTTAACATCGGACACAGTTGTGCCACCCTACGACGCTGCACTCTGCTTAAAGGTTATCTACGACGATGTGCGACTGTTCTTTCAACTCGAAGTTCTGTCACTCAGACGAACTGAATCTCGATATTCGCTTCGAAACCTATTCTGACGCGAAACTTGCTTCCGTTTTCCTCAATAATATGAACGAGTTTCCCGTTGCTCTGTTCCAACAAGTACTCGACGTCGTACTCGATCCTCGATTCAAATCGAGCGAAGTCACGTTCAAGAACGCCTGGGGCATCTTTGATTGTGTCTCGACTTATCGAAGAGGCATGGCGCTAAATCGAACTTTAGTAAAACCGCACAAGGCCGAGAGAACTTCAGGTGTTATTCCGCCTGTCGTTTTAGGTCTCATTGTCGATACATTCGTGCGATAGATGGATCCAGTAGGCTCAATCTCTGTTCAGATGCACTGGTTTGAAATGTTCGATATCAATGGGTATGACCTGCGTAATATGTGTCTTGTTCATCGATCTTGGACAGTTATTGCACAGAAAGGGCTGCGACGTCGGGCAATCATTCCGTACCAGCAGATCAACCGATTTCTTCTGAGCCCTTTATGTGGACCATGTGTTACGGACATGATGATCTACTGGACGCTCGATGCTGATGACAGAGTCGGAGCAAATGATCTCGATCTGCTAAAGGCACTCTTTGCTCGTACTACGAATGTTCACTGCTTGGTTTTCAATACAGATCTTACGTTTTATCGTTCGTCTGAGGAACAAGACTTTAGGGTTGGAACTTGCCTCAATGTCATATCGAGTACGTTGCCACACAGCCGCGAACTTTGCTTAAGCATTTCAATTGCGGACTCCCTAGTGAGACACTAGAGTCAACGGACTACGAAGCCTGGCAGTCTTTATACGCTTGTCTTCCGAGGATGCACACATTGGAGCTTTTGTCCGTAGTCGGGTGGAAAGCCTCGGAAACAGATTTGGACTGGAACGAACATCCTCACTCGTTGAAAACGGTGGACCTTGGTCTTAGATACGGAATGGGCGAACAACTCCTTGCGTGGCTTCTTCGTCCTAGAGGGAACTTCAGGTTACGATCGCTGTCTGTTTAGGAATATGGTGTGTTTCCGAACGTTTCTTATCAGGAGCTATTATTGTCGCTGCGGTCGTGTGTTCGTCAACTTGAACATCTGTCGTGGTTATTTCAGCATGACTATGCGTCGGCTTTCGATGGCCTCTTGCGTAACTGTTACGAGCTTACTAGCCTGGAACTTTTCTATGATCGAAATCCTCGGTATCATACTGTTCCTCGCCTGCTCCAGTCCTTAGTTCATTTGTCAGTCCACTACCGCGGCAAATATCTCTATAAGGCACATCCATCTGGTTCGCAGTTTATTCTATCTTTGGTAAAGGCATTATCTATACTTCCTCGGCTTCAAAGCCTCCTCTTCATAACGTACAGCGGGGAGAGTATGGCCGTTTCCAGGTCAATGTTTTACGATGGACAAGATTCGGGGGTTTACTGCCAATTGGATGGTGCCACTGCACTGGCGGGCGAAGCTTTGCCAGCGGATTTGATCAAATTCTGCAAAGACCGACGTGTACACCTCGCATGTGTAGATTCCCGTCGTCTTATGGATCCCAATGACTCTGATGATTAGTGTCACTTTATGAATAGCTGTCGGTTTGTACAAAATGCTTTATTATTCTTCCTTAAAGTAACTGTCATTATATACAGTAGACGGCTGAGAAATGAGTCACAGCATATGTGCTGCGATATATATGCAGGAATAGAGCAGACATTCATTTGTAGTTCACTGTGTTTTGTGTGATCCACAAGTACCACTGTATTACAACTGAGTAAATACTGAGTAAATTCCGGGCCTATAAACCTGTATTAATTGTGACCAAACCTGTGTTCTGTATGTGATTTATTGACACTTCCATCCACTGAACGGCATAGCCCTGGATAAGTCAAGTTAAATATGAAGTAAATATATCAAAACTTGTTTTGCTTGTGTAACATGTAACAGGAAATATACGTGTACAGCATGAGTAGGACCTTCATATGGACTCAGATGGACTGCTTTCGAATAAGAATCAAGACTATGTTGCACATGTAATAAGGCAAGGATAATTTATATGTATGTGTATGAAATCTAATAATACTAACGAAAAACTGAACAATCTACAGTTCGTCATGAACGTCCGGAGCCTTACTCGTCGGAGAGTTCTCAGACGCACTGGTGGTGGTACTACTAGTCGGTTCTACTGGAGGTACACTCTCGCTATTCCCAGTCCCCGTCCCAGATGCACTCTCCGATACACTCGAAGAAGCAGAAGTAGATGAAGAAGATGAAGAAGCGGAGGTAGAGGTCTTTTTCTTCGGCGGTGTCTTCCTCCTCATCAACTTCATCAACTCCTTCTCAAGCATCTTCGCTCTCACCTTCATCTCACTCGTCAAAATCGCTCTATCCTCATTCATCCCTCTCCTCTTCTGTTCTTCTACTCCTTCGTGTAACCAACTTTCATGTTCTCTCAGAGCTTTTTCTAAAGTTAGGAGTTCATCGGAAGTGTGGAGGGCGGGGAGGTTACCCGGGATGAGTTCCGCTGTGAGGTTTTTTCGAGCTTCGGTGAGGAAGAGCCGGGTCATCCAGTTTATGCGTTGGGATTCGTTGAGTGTTGAGGGGAAGGCGAGGATTTCTGTGTATCGGAATTGGATGGGTCGTTCAAGGCGTCTAGAAGTCATGAATTTAGTCCGAATTCCGAGGTCTGACGCAGGACCAGAAAATACGGTAGACTCACTCAAGTCTATCCCTCCTCTCAACCCACTCCCCCAACCTCGCCCCCTCCGCATCCTCACTACCCACCCACCTCAACGTCTCATCCACATTCCCCTCAATCACCTTCCTCTCTTCCTCCGTTGAGCATTTCCTAAATGGACTTTCACTCTCCTCGTCGTATGCGTGTTCGGATTCGACTAGGAGGTCGCGAAGACGGTAGAGGTAGGATTCGAGACTGTTACGTGCTTCTTCGAGACGGCGTTTGGCGGATTCTGCTGCGTCGACTGCTAGGAGGCTATTAAAGAAAAAACGAAATGAGATGTTAAACAGGCGCTTGTGTGTGAAAAAGAGAAGGATGGCTTACCGATCACGAGAACGACGAATCTCACCCGGAGTCAAAGCAGGGATAGATAACGGTCTTACAGTCAACGTAAGAGGTATCGTATCCCGTACTTCTTTCTTCTTCTCCGGACTCGGAGAAGCCGATGTTGTGGAAGAACTTGACGTCGTTTGGGAAGAGGACGAGGCACTGTCAGATTCTCCAGAAGCGGTACTCGTACTTGACGTTTCCGAGCTCGTCGATGAAGAGGAGGAAGAGGAGGACGAAGAAGAATCGTTAACCTCTTCCTCACCAACCTCCTTGTTCGACCCACCAAACAAGCCCTTCAACTTGCCTTCAACAACAAAAAAACAGTTTAAGCTCTCTCATCATCCTTAGAATCACTTAATGACAAACCCACCTGCAAAAGATTCATCCTTCTTAACCTCCCCAACAGCAACCGCATCCCGTATTCCCGCGAAACCCGACTCACTCAACACCAAAGTCGCCTTTACGACAGGCTCAGTCGCACCTGCTTCACTAAGTTCTGCCAACGCTTCCTTGACGCCGGTTATTTCGGCTTCTAGGAGGTCTGTTGGTATGCCACTATACGAAACAAAAAGATAAGAAGTAAGGAGTAAGAGGTCAGTTGAGCTTAACTAGGAATATTGGGTGGATGAGAGGAAGAGACGTACTACCCAAGAGAACCCTTGTACGACATCGTAACATTAAAATCATCCTTCCTCTTAAACGTCATCGTCTTCTTACTCCCGACCTTCGACCCAGCCGGAAAAACCAAAGTATTAAGCGTCCTAGGCGTCGTCAACGGTATCTGTCCTCCTTCTCCCCCTCCTCTTCCTTCCTCATCCGAATTCGAATTCGAATTAAGAACGACCTTCGACTGTGAGAGATAAGAAATCTGAATATCATAAGGCACAACATCGGCAACTTTAATATCCTTCGTCCGGAACGACGGACTAATCGAAGCACCATAAAGCGCTGCACCAAGTACAGCAGCTTCATCTGCGTTCACACTCGTCGCGATCCTACCCTCGCCTACAGCAGTTTTAAGGGATGCTTGGACCATAGGCGTTCTCGAGTGTCCTCCGGTTAATATAACAGACTTGATGTCATCTAGTTGGAGACCGGCGTTGGCAATTGCGTCTAGAACAGGTTGCGCAAATTTTGGGGAGAGGTCTGAACAAGCTGCTTCCAACGAGGAACGAGTAATCTTGGTTCGGTAGTCGATATCAAAAGCGAGACTCTCGATAGAAGCAGTCGCTTCTGTGTTGGCACTTAAGATAGTCTTAACCCGTTCAGCTTCTTTCCATAACTTCGCCATCCCGCGGGCATCACCTGTAACAGGTCGTCCATGCTTCACTTCAAAGTCCAAGGCAAGCATGTCACGTAATCGACGAGAAAGCTCCAGCCCTCCGGCAGTTCGGTCAAACCCTACTCCAGCGACAGTAATCTGCGTTTGTGCACCATTCGCATCCTTCGCCTTCTTCCCGTTTGGTTGTACGGTCTCAAAAGAGACGACAGTAGCACGTACACCACCCGCCCCAGCATCATACACAACATGCCACTCCCTTCCCTCCAAAAAGTTCCTCGTCATAGCAAAGTTTAACGAAACAGCAGTCCCATCATTCACAAGCGCTGCCAATCTTAACCCAGCGATTTCCAAAGCGTCTGCGATGGCGTCGCGCTCGAATTGCGTGAAGTAGGGTGGGACGACTACGACTGCGTCGCGAACTGTTTCTCTTTCTCGAGTTGCATCTGGGGTAGTGCCGACGGTTTCAGCTAGTTCTTTGATGTAAGAGAATTGCATCGCTATGAGCTCTTCGACGCTCCATTCCGTATTGTTGTTTTTCGTCGATTGGAGGAGGCCTACTGTGTCGCGTTTCGTTCGGACTAGTTGTGCGGAGGGGTTTATTGAGCGGAATACGTCGACTGCGTCGGATTCGTAAGGAACGCCTTGTAAGAGTTTGAGGTACGTGAAGGAGTCTCCCGGAAATCTAGCTGCCTATTATATTCAAAGACATTAACATTGAACATCAAAATTAAATTAAAGAAAGAAAGAAATTACTGACGATATTAAACGCATCACCACCAAACAACCTATCCTCCCCCTTCCACGCAATACTAGACTGTATCTTTCGCTTCGAGTCCCTATTGAGGAGAACATCGAAGGGTACGCCGGGTTTTATTACGGAAGCCTTGATGAATTCTGTACCATAGTCTATTGCGAGGAGGGCTGCGGAAGTGGATTGGGAAAGCCAGAACACAGAGATGGCGAGAGAGAAGAAGAGAGAGAATAAGCGTCGGTAAGTCATCTTTGTTTTGTTGGGACAGTTAGGAGGACATGGATGATGGAAGGAGGATGAGAGAGCAGAGAATGAGGTGTACGAGCTTGACAGGTTTTGCTGTAGCAACGTACGTGTTTGGTCGACGTGGCAGAAACGCGTCGAGCACAGCCGGATACGTGGAGATCTGCGTCACGTGGACACTCGGATGCAGAAGCACAGCAGAGAGATACGGTTACAGTTCAGCAGCGCCGATCATCATCAACTCAACCCATCACTACTTCTCGCCCAGACGCCGTCCCTTTCCTCAACCCCGGAATACGTAAATATGCCCGACACATCCACATACTCCAACAACAACAACAACAACGACGACCCCCTCTTCCGAACCCACAAATCCCGCCGTCTCCTAACATCCCTCCGCTTCAAAACCTACTCTGACGCTAAACTCGCAGGTCTCTTCCTCGAGAACTACTTCCCCATCACTTTATTCAAAAAGGTGTTTGACGTGATTGTGGATCCGGAGTTTGATTCGGATGATGTGACGTTTGAGGATATATGGGATATGTTTGAGTATGTGTCTGCGAGGAGACGGAAGGATGGGATGAAGAGAGAGGGGAACGTGAACGCCGCTGTAGCTCCGCTCGAGTATGATGTCAATGACGAGGAGTCGAAGCAGGCTGCGATTGTACCTGGGCGAATTCCGCGAGATATATTGGACTTGGTAGTCGATCAGCTAGTAGACGACAGACTACCACTAGGTATAGCAGCAATGGACCCCCAAACAACCAACGCTCTCATCTCCAATAGCCCTGACCTGCGCAACATGTCCCTCGTCCACCGTTCCTGGACCTCATCCGCACAAAGAGGCCTCCGTCGCCGAGCAATCATACCAATTCAACACATCACCGACTTCCTCCTCAGTCCTCTCTGCGGCCCCTGGATAACAGAAATGATCATCTACTGGTCATTCAACAACGGGGACGTTGGAGCTACGAAAGGCGATATCTGGGCTTTAGAATCACTCCTCGAACGAACACCAAACGTCCGGTCTTTAGTATTCAACACCTCACTCGTCTGGAATGATAATGGGCTCCCTCCACCATCTTGGCGTATCGACATGTGTCTCGAGATCATCACGGACTTACTACCCAACCTCGAGAACCTATGGCTCAAACACCTCCGTCCACTAACAACAACAACAACAAACCCAAACGAACAACGGTTCGACACGTGTGGAGAGTTACGGAGTTTATACCACTACCTCCCGAAACTATCTTCCTTGAAATACCTTTCGATTCGTTGGTGGTCAAGTGATGACTATTCCGACCTGCAACTCAACTGGGACGAGCATCCTCCACCCAGCCTAAAGACCATCGACCTCTACCTCTCCGGATCCGGAGACATCCACAAAGACGACCTAACATGGCTTCTCAAACCCCGCAACTCCTTCTCTCTCGACTCCCTCTCACTCTACTTAGAACGTAACTCCCTGGACGTCCCCTCCTTCTCAACTTCCTCAAGCTCGAGTTTGCAAGCGGCGATGCGAGATTGTCTTCCCGGACTCAAGAGGAATCTTAAGTTGGTGATTCATCAATCTCCGATTCTGAATTACAGAGTGACAGACCCTGCTGGGACGAACGGATCTGTTCCTGGACAATTCTATTCTAGACTTTTGGAATCGGCGAGTGACTTGGAGAAGTTGGAGTTATTCTTCTTCCAATCCAATTTGCGTGACATCCATGGACTGTTCAACCTCCCGTCTTCCTTAGAAACACTTGCGATACACCTCACCTCCGACGACCATGACCATCCACCCACTTCCACCTCCACCTCCACTTCTACTTCGCCTTCGTCAAAACCAGATCTCCAAGCCTGGTTCTCCTCAATAGGAATCGAGAAGTTCATCCTCGACCACCTCCCTTCCCTTCCCCACCTCCAAAAAATCCTCATCACCCGCTCCCCGTCTCTCGATCAGAACACTTTGGTAGATTGGGACTTGGACGCTTTAATCCCTCACGACTACCAACCCTACCGCATGGATGAAATCGCTAATACTATGGTTCAAAGAGGATGTGAAGGAGGACAGGATGTGATTTCGGAATCCCTCCGCACAACTCTCGAAGAACGCGACATCGAATTCGTATTTTTTGATAATGCGTATCCGAGAGGGTGGGATATTCCGCGTGGGGAACGACATACTTATTCATATTCATATTCTCATTCGCATTCTCATGCTCATGTGATGACGGATCGGACTTCGTCTTCGGGACCCTGATACCGGTCAGGATCTCACCAGACTCACCATCCAATTATCCTATCATCCTATCGTCCCACCTTCTCAACTCCACAACACCACAACTTCACACTAGTGTGAAACACACACACACAAACACAATGGATTGGAACTTGACTATTCTGTTTTTACCTCTCTTCTTTTCTTCTTTTATTTTTTATCAGTATTTTCTATGTATCAGCCAGATTTGGGACTTTAAATTTATTGGATCAGAATATTTCCTCTTATTCTGAGATATTTTTAGCTTTGTGCTGATTTCTCATTGTTACTTGTATTCCTGTATTCTTAGTATTCTTAGTATTCTTAGGACAATGCTGTACAAATACACAGATTGGATTTGCTTTTCTTACTTTTGTTGATTTGTTTTTAAGTTTAGAGTATAGGTTTTAAGTCTTAAACTCTGCTACTGAGTGTACAGGAGACTGTCTTAGCTCATCTGAGCACAGTACAGGTATTGTCTCAGTGTTGAACAAGATTTCATTATAAAAAAGTCTTAAGTATTATACTTACTTGTAATCCTATATATTTTATATATTTTGTCTAATATTATTTAATCTTCCTAGAGGGTTAAGTAATGACAGTACAATGTTAGATAAGTAAGTAAGAATACTTGTAAAACTTAGCAATTTCTATTATAATAATATAAATTGTCAAGTTATACAAGTGATTATAATATACTTTTTAAGATTACAAGGTTAAGATGTACTTGTTAATTTGTAAAAGTATAATATCTACTTATAATACTTACAAGTCATTACAAGTGTTTGAATAGCTTGCCTTTTTACTTACTATACAATTTTGTATTAAATAATTAATCAAATATAATTATATTTAAATTATAGAATACAAAATTAGTAAATAATACACTATTTCTACAGTCCTAACCTCTACACTACTAGCTGCCTCTGCCTTATTCTTTTGTAAGCAGGATTTGTGTTAGAAAAGGATGAATACATTCTCAGACTGTTTGATGTAGTCTTTGTCACCATGTTTTGATTGTTACTTAGTCTTTATAAGTTGAATTGTAAGTGTGTGTAAATTGTTACTTACTCATTACTCTTAACTCTTCTTACAGGTGTAGCCTTAATCTCTACAACCTGCTTGACCTTAATAAGAGAGAAAAGATGGACACACTATAACAGTGTGTAGCAAGTGTGAGTAGGTTACCTAGGTTGGAAATCCAGAGTGTTGAACAAGCTAATTTGGACTGTAGAGGAAAGTGTGTCTATACAAGTATATTGTATGTTCTGGCTACAATACAACATACAATCAGAGGTGTAGTAAACTCAGTAATAGTTGTGAATGACTTTAGAGGTGTATCTTTAGAACATTCTGGCCTGAAGGGAGAGGATAGTGTGAGTAGTATAGACAGACTCAGCTTAAGAGAGGAGAGTAGTAGCTACTATTTCTACTATTCAAAATAGTGTTATAAACAGTACTAAAGAATATAAATATATACAGTATAGGTACATTAAGAGTAATGTCAAGCATAGAATAGTAGGTAGGGAAGGAGAGTGTGTAGAGGGGTTAGAGAGAGGATTGTTAGTAACAGTATAGAAAGAACCTAAAGGCTTAGTAAGAGGACTCAGGCTACAACTATTATACACAACAGAAATACAGAATATAAGTACTAGAACATAGTTAGAACTTACAGAACAGACAGAGGGAAAGAGTGAGACAAGTGTAAAATATATAGAGTGAGCCTAAGAGTATAAGACTATCTAGAGTAGACAAGATTAAGACTATAAGACTAGTCTGATCTTATATACCTATATATACTAAACTATACAAGAGTACTCAGAGAATAGTGAGCTACTAAGAATGATGAGTTATGAAGAATAAAAGAAAGAAAGGTCAAAGATAAAGGTACAAAGAATAAAGGGATAAATAAAGGGTAAAAAACTATAGAATGAACAAAGAATGAACAGGTGGACAAAGGAACAGAATGATAAAGTAAGAAAGTGTCAGCAACAGTGTAGAGGGGACCTGAAGGCTCAGTAAGGGGACCCAGGCTACAACTATCCTACACAACAGAAATACAGAACACAAACACTAGAACATAGTCAGAACTTACAGAATAGGTAGAGAGAGAGAGTGAGACAAGAGTAGAGTATATAGAGTAAGTCTAAGAGTACAGGACTACCTAGAGTAGACAAGATCAAGACTACAGGACTAGTCTGATCTTATACACCTATATATACTAAACTACACAAGAGTACTCAGGGAGTATGAGCTACTTAAGAATGATAAGTTACAAAGAATGAAAGAAAGGAATGTCAAAGATAAAGGTACAAAGAATGAAGGGATGGACAAAGGGTAAGAGACTATAGAATGAACAAAGAATGAAGGAGTGGTCAAAGGAATGGAATGATAAAGTAAGGAAGGGTAGTAGTAAGAGTCAGTATGTATATAGTCTATAGACAGTGCTCCTGAGGGACAGAAGTCCTGAGTTCTGGTACAGAAGGGTGTAGAACCCTCAGAACTGAAGGTATGAGAGTAGAGAACTGTAACATCACCCCCTCTCTAAAACCAATTGTCCTGATTAGTGAACATTAGGCTTGGTTAGCAGCTTGAGTATAGGTTAGAACAGTAGGGTTTGGAAATCTGTGAGGCAGAGTTGATGCAGAGCACCTGGATGAAGTTGATAGAAGTCTCAGATCACCTTAGTAGTATGGGTGAGATTCTTAGCAGGTTCCCAAGTGTGTTCTTCAACTAGGTATCCCTTCTAGTAGATAAGGAACTTGAGCTTTCTACACACTAGCTTAGTATCTACTACATACTCTACTTTGTATTCTGGTTCAGAACTGATGAGTTCTAGTAGAGGTAGTAAGGGTCTTTGTTATAAAGGGAAACCTGGATTGTAGTACTGAGACAGTAGAACCTTGTTAAACACTAGGTGTATACACTTCTATGTTGCTAAAAGTTGGAGTTTGTAGACAGAGGCACTAATCTTCTTTTCAATAATGAAGGGTTTAAAGTACTTGTTGTCCAACTTCTTCATTAGGCAATCTGTGGTCAGGTTAGTAGCTTCTAGTATAACTTTGTCACTAGGCTAGTAATTCTTGGCTACAGACCTCTTCCAATCATAGTTCTGCTTTATAACCTGTACTACCTTTTCCAAAAGAGCTTGTGTGTCCTCCCTGGTTCTGTACATCTGTTCTACAAAGTCTGTTACAGATTCAGAACTACTGTTCTGGTTTGGAACTGTCCCCTAGTACAAATGTCTCCTATAATTGAGGAAGAACAGGGACTGTCCTGTTACAGAGTGTTACTAGTTATTGTGTACAAATTCTGTCAGAGCTAACCATTCAGACCAATCTGATTACTAATGATTAATGAACATCTGAAGGTAGAGCTTAATCTCCTGATTGACTTACTCAGTTTGACTGTCAGTCTGTAGGTAATAGGTAGTAGAAGGGTTCCCTTGAATTCTGAGAAGTGTATACAAGTCCTGTATGAATTTTGACTCAAATTGTAGTCCACAATCATGAATGAGCTTCTAAGGGAGTCTGTGTAACCAGAAGACATGATCCTGATAAATGTACACTATACTTTCAGAAGTGAGTTCTGTTCAGGTCAGAACTGTATAGACTTGCTTAGAGAATCAGTCAACAATTATACAGATAGTATTATAACCCTGAGACTCAGGTAGCTCACTAATCAGGTCTACTGAGACTTCTTTCTAAGGGTGATCCAGGATCTGATACAGATGTAGGAGAGCCTAAACCCTTGTCTGGTAGGCCTTAGTCTGTTGGCACATATTGTAACCAGTCATGTACTTCAGGATTTCCCTCTACATTCTAGACTACTAGTAGTTCTGAGTGATGAGTTCCTGCATTTTGTGTCAGCCTAAATGTCCTGTGGTTAGATTGTTGTGATAAGCTCAGACAATGTCCTCCTACAGCTTCTACATCAGGAAAATGTCACATTTCTTGTAATTTCTTATAGACTTTGTAAAGTAACATGTGTATTGTATATACATTGTAAATGAATTGTAATGTTTAAATAAGACATATTAATGTATATAAAGACTATATAAGTACTAAGGATGAATAAAATCTATTACATGTATTATACTAACTTTGTATGATAACCTAAAGTATTATGCTTGTATTACATTTAAATTATAATCTTAAAAAAAGAGTTATATTTATAATATAATAATGTAATAATAACTATTGTTATCTTATAATTTATGCAAAAGGTATATTAATGTATATAATAGTGTAAGAGCACTTGTTGTATCCCTATTATCTTAATAAAAGTATACTATAAGTATATAATATGTACATTATACTTAGATTATCTTGGGCAACTGATACCTAATTTGCTTATATAATCAACGGCTGAAGATCGAGAGCATATAATGAGTCAATGACACACTTATGCGTGCCACTCTTTCTCTTCAACCTCCACCACCCCTCTAAGTCTAACTCTCTGCCGTGCCACCGTGTCGTCGCTTTTGTTCTCTCTAAGTCTCTAGTCTTTCTCCTCTTGCATGCATCCTACTAGCTGCCACCCTGCCTTCAACAACGTCAACAATAAACATTGCTGCACTCGTCTCTCCAATCAACTGTTGTGATGCCTGCACTGAGTCCCAGATTCTGCACAGCTGATTACACCGTACCCTCCCAGTCTCAACAACGTTAAATGCAAGCAACCGGTTCACTTCATAATAACCTGTACAATAGTTGCTCATCCCTCTCCTCCCAACTTTTTGTCTCCCTTCCATCCCTTCTGCTCCTCGTTCCGCCGATTGCGTTGCCTCTCCTTCATTGTCCTCCTTTCCACACTGCCTTCCCTTTTGCATTCATATTCTCGCATCTGCATTGTCGACCAATGCCGAGCGAATTCTTCAAAAATCCTATGCACTCGCGTACTTCTTCCTGCTCTACAGCGCAAGCAACAATTGACGAGCACACGCTCGCAACAATGTCCATGTACATCTACTCCCATCGTGCTACCCCTTCTCTTACTCGGTATGTGCTCTCCTTCCCCACCCGTGCAATGCTTGACATCATACTTGGTAGGCCCACACTGTATGCATTTACATTCCTCTGTGCCAGGCATGACACCACATTGAACAGGAGTGGTGGCCCATTGCTCACACCTATCCAAGATGAGTTGAATCCTTCCACATCTTCCACTTCACCCTTGCCCTTTGATCCAGAACGTCCCAGAGATACACCTTTGTAGTCATCTGCAAATCAGTTCGTTCAACGCTCCGGATCTCAACCCTGGTGCACCACTCACACTCGCTGCACACTGTCACGGTGTATCCATCTCTTTACTTCAAGCACCCGCACTCGCTAACAACCCCTTGTCCCCTTAGCAAGTCAACCTCCAAACTCGCCTCACAAGTGCAACCTCGACCTCTGCAATCCGTACAATCTCACAATCCACACACAATTCAACTTGCAGGGACTGAGTGTCGACCAAAGCATGGTAACGAAGACTACCTCAAACGGCTGAGGAACACATTCATTCTCTATTGTCAACACACTCGCCATCTGTCGTCAGATTATTTCCCTAATTGTTGTAGATAATAATGTATTTATACAATATTTCAATATAATTATAAACTGTCATTTTAATAATGAACGGATATAAGCAAAAACTTATCTTATACATCTTATATACATATGTTTTCCTTGTTAAAATGACAAGTATTATAATACTTAGCCATTTTGTGAGGTACACTTTAAGCACTTGTATATCTTAGTAAGTACTACAATTCTTATTATTCTTGACCAGATAGTCAAGACTTTTTAATAACTTTCTTAGCTTCTTATTATCTTTCCAAAACCCCTAGGTACACAATAAGCTCTTTTACAAAATGTAGAAAATATATATAATTTATATACATATAAGCTAATACAAAGTTTGAGATATTTTCCTGATGTAATCCTTCAGAACATACAGTCAGCCTTCCTAGTAAACCTGTCCATCCTTATCCTCCTCCCAATCCCTAGCCTACTTCTCTAGCTACTTTACTATGACTCAGTTGTGTGTGTGTCTCAGAGCTTACTATATACAGGTGACAAAGTCAACATCCTCAGATTTGAGTCAGATCTCTTAGATTGTCTTAGACACAAAATGGGAATTGTCTAGGAGAACAAGATTTTCATTATTATTCTCCCCCCTTTTATGACCTGCTTGTCTTGAGAGTAAATCAGCTTTTGTCATTTGTGTTCTAGGTTTGTAGGTTAGCACAAAGTCATAGTCCTACAGTTCTAACATCTAGCAGGCTTGACAGTAGTTGAGCTTCTGAGGCACCTAGAAGTACTAGAGATTAAGGTGATCACTCCAAATCTCAAACTTCTGTACAGTACTAAGGAGATATTGATACTACTCCTCTAGAGAACAAACAATTGTAAGGAGTTTCTTGTTATAGATAGGGTAGTTCTGTTCTGTTACAGAGAGGGATTCTGATCAGAATGCTATCAGACACTACTTTCTGTCAATAAACTGAGACAGTACTACTCTATTCACAAAGTTAGAAGAGTTAGCTTTGACTCAGAACTTGTCTGTAACTGTCAGAACTGCTAATACAGGCTTGCTAGTAATAGCCTACTTGAGGGACTCAAACACAGACTGCTACTAATCATCCCATTACTAAGGAACATCTTTGCTAGTGAGATTGTGAAGGGGCTGGGCAATAGTACTGAAGCTGTAAAGGCTAGAGCCTCACTCAAGAACACAGAACAGGCAAAGACCTAGGATTGAAGAGGTTGACCTAAGTACAGGAGTAAGTACAAAGATAATCTCTAAGTGTCTACAAATAGCCCTTTATATACTTAACTAAAGCCTTACTCAAGAACACAAAACAGGCAAAGACCTGAGATTGGAGAGGTTGACCTAAGTACAGGAGCAAGTACAAAGATAATCTCTAAGTGTCTACAAATAGCCCTTTATATACTTAACTAAAGTCATGTGTGTAACCTCAGAGGTTACACTCTTCCCTACTCTGAAGAAATAAAAAGGGGGGGGGTAGGGAAGTGTTAAGAAAGGGGAAAGAGAGGTTATGTGAGAGGCTTAGAGAGATCACACAAAGAGGGGGGATAGTGGACTTGGCTTGCTCTCTTGCAGCTTGCTTCATTGTCTGTTGATTAGTTAGTCTATATATACTATGTAGGTATGTCTCAGATGTAGAATGTATGATGGAA